TACTTTAGATGAAAGGTTGTCAGGAAGATTGTTTATGTAGATAAGAAACAAAACAGGGCCCAGGATGGAACCTTGGGGAACCCCAGAAGTTACTGGAAATAAAGAAGAGTGTTGGCCTTCAAGGATGACTTTAATAAACCGGTTTGAAAGAAATGATTTAATAATCTCAAAAACTTTCCCAGAAACACCATATGAAGCAAGCTTATGGAGAAGACCAGCATGCCAAACTTTGTCGAAAGCTGTAGATATGTCGAGAGCAATAGCCCTAGCCTCACCGCCTCCATCTAATGCACGATAAAATCTTTCAGTTACATCAGTTAGCAAGTCGGCCGTAGAATGAGAGAATCGAAAACCGTATTGATTGTCTGACAGCAGTTTATTTGACTCAAGATGAGATGTGAGGAATTTGTTGATCAAAGACTCAAAGACCTTGCTAATAACAGAAAGAAGACTGATCGGACGATAATTGGAGGGGTCAGAATTTTCTCCAGAGTTTTTGAATATTGGAACTACAGATGCCATTTTCCATCAAGCAGGAAAACAAGACTCAGTCAAACACTTGTTAAATAGTTTAAAGAGAATTGAAGAAAGTTCTGGGGAGCAATTCTGCAAGACTGTGACAGGAATGTTGTCAGGACCACAAGCTGTAGACGAGTTAATTTAGATATGACTTTAGCAACAGAAGCCGGAGTGATTTGAATGTCTAACAATGGGTCAACCTGTTTGACTGGAATGGAAGAAAGAGAATGTCCATAAGATTCAAGAGTGGAATTAGAAGAAAAGTTCTTTGCAAACAGTTCTGCCTTATCCCAGGGAGAGGTAACAAGATCAGTCCCATGAATGAGAGATGGAATGTTAGATCTACCCTTGTTAACAATGCTGTTGAAGATTTTCCAAAAGTCTTTAGAGCCTAACTTCTGCAATAAGATGCGAGATTTAGTGAACTGAGAATAATGGAGTTTAGCATCAGAAAGCACCTTTTTACATCAATTTCTTGCAATAATAAATAGCCGTTTGTTCTCAAGAGAGTTGTTCTTTTGAAAAAGATGAAAAAAATGATTACGATTGGATATAGCAGCCGCACAAGAAGGAGAAAACCATGGAGTAGAATGAGGCTTGACTTGAAACCGACGAGAAGGAACAAAAGCTTCCATTCCAGTCTGAATCCAGGAGATTACGTAGGCTGAGAAAGAAAAAACATCAGCCCAAGGACCATCACGAAGAAAATCACGAAAAGAATCCCAGTCAGCTTTAGGGTAGTAGTAGGTGGTGCGATTATAAGGTGAGCCCAAAAAAGAAGTACGAGAAGAAAGATTTATAGAGATCATTGCATGGTCAGAACCACCTAAGGGAGAAAAGGGAGAAACTGAACATAAGCTAGGGTCAGAGACAAGACATAAATGATTAGGATTGTCAGGAAAACGAGTCACAAAGTTAACTATCTAAGTAAGAGATTGAGAAACGCAGAAGTTAAAGGCTTTAGTGCCAGCAGGATCAGTGGTGTTAGAGCCAAGCCATTCAGTGTGATGGGCATTAAAATCACCAACAACAACAATATTGGCAGAGGGGTAAAGAGAGAGGGCATGGTCAATTTGATCAGAGATAACATCTAAAAGAGTGCAATCATGGGAAGAAGGAGAACAATAAAGAACAAAGAGAAAGGTGATAGAGTGAAGAGGTGCTAGGCGAAAGCACATAAAAGAATGGTCAAAGGATTCGAACCTGATTTCACGACAAATAGGGGAGTTAATGCGTATGTATACCCCTAAACCTAGCATGTGACTATTGGAGTCTTTACGAATCAAAGGATAGTACCCATCAACACTGACATCTGAAGAAGGAATTGCAGAACTTAAATTTGTTTCACTGAGTGCAAGCAATTCTGGTAAATTTTGCAGGAGGTAAGACTCAACTGATGGAAAGTTGCTTTGTAGACCGCGAATATTTGTAAAAGATATATTAAAATATTTAGGTGGTGGGGATGGTTTTTCAGGTTTTAAATTTTTGGTTACTTTGGTCATGATTTGAGTGTAATGAGAACTTGACTCATTCATAGATAGAGCACAGCCTCCTAATCAATGAGCTATGCAGTTGTCTCAGTCCTGTTAATTAACCCTAAGCCGTGACATAGGGCTCCTTATGTGGCCTTGACAATGCACACCAAAAGCATTAACAGGGACACCATCCATGCGCAACATGGCACTATTAATACTCTGATATTTTGCAGCTGTTGATGGAATCAGCCTCTCTGAGAGCTACCACAGAGTTCGGGAAACCTTACTACCAGCCGGCCTCAGAACCATTAAACTGAGTTTTAGAGCTGTACCCTCATATGGAGATAACAGGAAGAGTTGCATAGCCGTTATCAAGGAGGCATAAGCAAAATTCTATGAGTAGAGTCAAGGAGATCCAGCATTCATCATCCTAGGCAGGAAACAATGTAACACAGGTTACATCTACGCCAGCCTAATAGATGAAGAAGGGGTTCGAGGCTGGTTAGCAGAATTTTTCTGCTTACCCCTAAAGTCTTTACCTAGGAGGCCTTCTACAAGACAGTAGCAGGATGCAGTTAACATCTGCCCAAGATGAGTATTTTTATCGAGACACCATCTCTAGCCTTTACTCAACCAAGAACCCCGAGGCAGGGGATGTTTAGCTGGACGCAGTTAACATCTGCCCAAGATGAGTGTTTTTATCGAGACACCATCTCTAGCCTTTACTCAACCAAGAGCCCCAAGGCAGGAGAATTTTTAGTCGGAGTTTATTTCTCCTAGCCTTTGCATAAGAAGAGCACACTCTGCAAGGCAGCAGGGCTTGTGGCAGGTGGTACTGGGTTACGTGATATCAGTAGCAAGATTGATCTCGATTATCCTGACCTGACCTGGAATCCATCTTGAGATACACAAGAAAACTGGATATTTTTTAGTGAGTTGAACATTGAGCTTTGTTTGTGAAGTACTTCCAAATTCAACTAAAAACAAAGTTCAAATGGTATTAAAAAATTGCGAGCCGTGTCAGTAAATAGATCCAGCACCTGTACAGTGGACGAAAGGTACTTTGAATGTTAAAGAAAATTGGGAAAGATTGGCTATGGATATTACGCATTATAAAACTATAAAATTTTTGAGTCTAACTGATTGCGGACCTTCAAGATAATACGCTTTGTGGCGAAAACTATCAAGTTCATATGGAAGTGTTGCCATAATTTGAATTCTCCGTCTTATTTTTTGTGAACAATGAGCGATATCCAAAATATTAACAGATAACGAGGCAACGTTTAAGACTGAAGAAATAAGGAGTTTCCTTGAAAGTTGGGGAGTGCGTAACACATTTCGGACCGCCGATTATCTTGAGGGGAACGGAATTGTGGAAAGAAACCATCGTACAATAAAAAGAATAGCAGAGCGATCTAAGATATCAATACCGGAAGCAGTATATTAGTACAACGTTGCTGTCGACAAAAGTTACGTACGACCGATCGAGAAAATATATAGTTATCAAATTAGTATCAAGGGATTAAGAAAAAGAAATTTTCTGGAAAAAAAATGGCACAAACAAATATTTGGAGCAGATGATAAAGTTTAGTTGAAACCACCCAATTTAAGGTGCTATACCAAGTGGAAGCCAGCGACAGTAACTAAAGACTGGTCGGAGCAAGTTGTTGAAGTGAATGGGGTTCCGCGCCACATCAAACATATTAGATCTTGATGTGAAATTTAACCCTTATGCTTTATTCAAGACGTAGAAAAAATTATGGGCAATAATTGCAAAGAAGCTTTTGAAAAGAATGAGGACCAAGTTGAAGGAAATGCTGACGTGAATGAAGCGGACATCATGGTCAAGGATAGTCTCCAGGAAATAGATATGCCTTTGCAAAGAATTTCTTTAGAGCGATGCATGCCGAAAAAATTTATTGAATACTGTTTATATGACACTTAAGGGTCAAGGAGGATTGTAATTATTTATTTATTTAATTGCTGCGGTGAGCAAATGCTCGCTGAGTGGTAATCCACTTTAGCAGCAAGTTTTAAAACTACAATTTGAAATTTTTATTCACATAATAAAGTTCATCAAGACTTTTTTTAAAGATGAACACTGACTTATTAAATTCGACATAAAACGGCAAATTGTTCCAGATTGGAATAACACGATTGGAAAAAAAATTCCTTCTATTCGAGTGTGTCCACAGATCTTAGAAGTAAATCTATGATTGTGGATATAGACACAAACACTTTCAGCTAGTTGGTCGACAAAAGTTCCTTAGGGAAGATTTATCTGATAAGAATTATTAAGAAATTTGAAAAAGTTAATTAAATCGCTTCTTAACTTCTCATTGAAGGTTGCTAAATTAAGTCTATTTAGTATTTCCTCATAAACAAAATTTATTTGTACTCATAGATTTATTTTCTCCTCATAAACAAGATTTATGTTGTACTCCTTCAATAATATTAATGTCTTTTTTTAAAAATGGACTCCAAATGAAAGACGCATATTTTAAATGAGGGCGTTATATTAAATGTTAGAGTGTTCCGTGACGTCAAGTGGTTGTAATTAAAGTGCTTTTATATTTGATAATTATTCTTAATATGTTTGTACTGTTTTGTAAGTAATTGCTAATGTGTTTATATGGTTATTGTGAAATTTTAAATATGTTTATTTGGGTTTGTAATGGTAATATTCGAGGTATATGATTTAGTATAAATTGTGATTATAATTTAGTGAGAGACAGATTCCCATTGAGTAAAGAAAAGAAAACATCTTGACATAATGCTACATTTCTGCTTCATTTCTGCGAGAAAACTACAATATAGTAGGGATTTAGAGAAAAAATGTTCGTGCAATATACTTATTTATACTTTGATAATAAAAAGAATTAAATGATCAAGCTTTTTGCTGTGGAATATTTATAGTAACAATTTCTATCGAATATTTTTTAAATTTAACCTCATTAGCAGAAAATAAAAGTTTACATTAAGATTAAGTCAAAGATTAATATAAAATTAATAAACTCATAAACAAATATTTTCAATCACTGTTTTCTCTGACTTATGCATTATCAAAAATCTTCCTAGAATATCATCTTCCGCTTGTTTATCATGTACCTGTTTGTAAAACATCATACTCTACATTCGTATCCTGATTGTCTGATTTCGTAACTTAATTTGTAACCACTAAAAACTAAAGTGAAAAGGTTAGCATTTTAAATGTACATTCATAAATCAAAATTGGAATTACACAGAACAACTTTACATATAGAGGATTTTCTGAATGGAAGTTTTTCAACATTTCCTGTATTTTTGACATGTTTATTTTTGACATTAAAAATTAGTAACATCGGGAAATAACATATGGAGTGGTTTTCACCATCTCTGTTCCATCAACTTTTTTTAGCAAATGTAACTAAATTAAGTTGAAATGCATATAAAATAAAAAAATAATTATTTAGTAATTAAACCTCTTGATTATAGCAAAGATGAAAACCTACTGTTACACAAACATACTAGCGTTTAAAAAAATGAATTTAAACTGTTTATAAACTTATGAAAAAAGTTCTTGCAGCAGAACTTTCATAACGAGAGATTAGCAACTCATATTTTTTAACTGTGGCAATGTCGCCATCAATAATTTCTAAAAAATCGGAGTTCATTGATTTGTTGGCATTTAAGAAGGTAGATTGTTGCGAAAAAAGCTAATTTTTTTAGCTATTTAACTTCTATGAACTAAAATGGCGTACACGAAACTCGTTTATTATTTATTTATCAGTCGTTTTGCTTTCAGTTGTTGTAAGAAAAGGAATCTTGAAAACGCATTTAAGTCTAATTTAATTATTTAGTTAATAAAAAGTAATTTTTTACCAAGTATTTTATTTCGTTTTAATTATGTCTATTTAAACCGCGTGACTTAAGCTTTTATGTGAGTCTTCTGACCAATGGCTATATTACTATTTTATAATATAATAAACGTTTATTAAACGTCGATCAAACGTTTAGAATAACGACTTATTATATTAGTCAATATGGTAAACGTTTGATCGACGTTTAATAAACGTATATATTAAAAGAATTAAAGCGTAGATTTTAAATTTATAAATGTTTACGTTTAATTAAGGTCGATTAAAAGATCGACATTTAGTAAACGTATAATAAAAAAGTTTGATATATACATTTTAAATCAAGCGTTGATCTTTAATCAATAATAGGTTGCTAAACGTTTTATCCAATTTTTGACCAATTTCGACTAAATATTAACCAATCCTGAACCAACCTGTGTTACAATTCTATTGCATTGTATGAACATTGAACTAATCAAGATTTCTGACCGGTTTAAGACTAAAAAACTATAAATTATTATGGATAAAACTAAATGAATTCTTTTCCATTCTGTTATCAAAAAACATTCAATGCGAATTTATATACCGCTACTTGTTAATGACAATATACAAATTAAAAATGTAAAAGTAAAAACTTTTCAGGTGTTTGTATAGATGGAAATTCTACTTGGAAAAATCACAATAAAAACTTATCAAGTAAATATTCAAAAAGTATAGGATATTGGACAAATCGAGTAATGTTTTAAACAAATATATTTTAGTGCAATTGCAATAGTTTTATTAGTACCTATACCCCAAGCAATGTAAACATTGCTTAGAGTATTACTAATAAAAGAAAACTTAAACCTCTTTATTTTCAACAGAAGCCTGTAGCACGTCTTATATATTTTAAAGACCCTTATACATTGTAAGAAACTCACGCCAATTCTCTATTATTTGAAATGAAAGTTTTTAATATATATGAGCCTAATATTTTTAAAATTCTTTGTTTTAAATTTAAATGTAAAACCAATTCATTTTCCGTTTTTTTCCATAATTTGTATTTTGTCAAAACAGAAACTATTACTATAAACAGAAATTGTATTTTTCAATATTTTTTTTTTCTATTTTTGACTATTGGTGACTGTTTTATTTTTAAATGATATATCTTCTTTTTCACTGTTTGTATTTTTAAATATTATATATATTTTTTTAATATTTATAAATTTATTGGTGTTTTTAGTTAAATTCTTTTTTTACATATCATATTTAATCATATTTACCTATTATTGTTATGATCATATCTATGAAAAAATTAGGTTGGTATTTTGCCGTCCATATCTGCTTTGTCTGTTTATCATTTATATATTTGAAATAGAGTACGTTTTGGTAACGCAAAATTGATCGTTTGTCCAAATATTAATCCCAAAACCACTAGCGTTTTTAAGAAATTTCCTTTGTTTCTGTGCAATATCAGTCTCGAAATGCCTTGCGTTACTGAAAAAAAAACTATTTTTAGAACACAAACTTTACGCTATTAAATTTTATTTTTTTGTGCAAGGAAATTGTTGTTTATAAATAAACAGCAGAACAAATTTAAAAAAAAAGAAATAAGTAAATATACAGTTAAACTTCCATGGCTCCCAAGAATAGGTCTAAAACTTAGAAAAGAATTTAAACAATTTCACAATAGTTTTTACTTCACCACCTACGTTAAAAATATCTTATGCAAAAAGTCAAAACTAATTCCTAATTGTAATCCCGGTGTCTACAAACTTTCATACTCTTTTGGCGGTATATACGTAGGAGAAACAAACAAGTAAAAAAAGAGTTCTAACGAAATGTATTTAACATCAAAAAAAAAACTATTTAAAAGTAAGTGGGATGCATAAGGAACAACCTTGTCGAGAATGTGGTGGCATGTTTGAGTGGTCGCATCCCGAAACTCTAGCAATCAAATCAGAGTATGAAGAACATAAAGTAAGAGAATCACTCTTACAAAATTGCATACGCCTTAACATACCAACAAACACGCTACTATACTTCTCAACCGTGACAGTGGCGTTAAATCTACAATAAGTTGGAGGGCTCTGTTTAAAAAACTATCCAAAAAAACGGAATTAGATAGTATTTGGTAACTTTATGTTTTTGTTGTTATGTTTCATTATGTCATCATTTATGGCTTCTTTTTAATGTCTTCTTTGACGTTTATATTTAATATTGGTAACAGCTTTTTTGTAATTGTATTTTATATCTGATGACGGTCTGTGCAAAAACAGGTCGAAATATTACAAAACTTAGTACGCAACTGTATATATATTTATTTTTTGTATCTGTATGTAACTGTATATATATATATATATATATATATATATATATATATATATATATATATATATATATATATATATATATATATATATATATATATATATATATATATTTAAGTTGATTTAGGTGCCTCAAGAAGTCCTTACGGTCTTATTACGGAGCACCGCGGAAGAGCATTTAATAGGAAGTTTACGCCTCCTTCCCAACCGATGTCGCAAAACTCGCTCAGAGGTGGGGTTTGAACCACGGATCTTACGTTTCTGAGGCAAGTGCGCTACCACAGCGCACAGTGGGCTAATTTTCAAAAAAGCTGGCCAAAAGTCAAAAAAAAAAATCACTATTTTGAATTTATTATTTTGAAACTACGTAAACAAAACCCTGTTGCATTTTATTGTATAAGAAAAAATTGTATAAATTTTAAAGTTACCTATATCTACGCAGTTAAACATCTGTTATTAAAAACACTTAATTGGCGTTTTAAAAACAAAAAAAAAAATGTGGTTAAATAAGTATCGTTTACAAAAAAGTTATTTATCGTTACTAAAAAACTAACTATGGACGATACTATTCAAGGTATTGTTATAATATTTTAGTAAAAAGTTTTATATTATTTCTCTAAATTTTATGCGAAAAGTGCGAACAAAAAAGTACAGAATAAAGTTTATATATTTTCTTTAACCTATTTTTCAAGCATTGAAAAAGTAGTGAACCCGCGAGATTCCGCTAAGTTATAATTTGGATGTTGTTCATAAAAGTGTATTCTAAAGATTGGTTAAAAGAAAAGGCACCTATTTTTGCCTATAACTTCATTAACTTATATTGTGTAGTGCTAGTTGTGTTTTTTACAAAACAAAATGGCGGTGTTTTGTTTTCTTTACAAAATCAGTCAAATTGTATATAGATATAGTTATTATGTTTCTTGAGAAACTGATTTTGTTAAGTGCAATAAAAATACAATAAAATTAGTAGCACACATGAATGAGATTTTGACAAAGTTAGAGTGTAGGGGGGGGGGGGACAAACCTCCTCGGTTACGACGCCTTTTTTACCTCAGCTACGACGATTTTTGTATAGTTTTATTGAATTTTACAAAATCAGTTTCTCAAAAAACACAATAACTATATCTATATACTATCATATGATTAACAGTATATTTTACCTTTCTCTTATGTATAGAATTTATATAATATAATATATTATCGATCACTTTTTATTTTATTTTTAATTAGTTTAGTAAAGTTATAATGTTTTTATGATTTTTTCAATTACTATATTTTAAATTAATATCTAAGGTTCACAAAAAGATCATTTGCAAATTCCTCGTATTGAAATTTTTGAAATTTTAAAAAACGAGTTATCTTCAGATCTACATGATCAGCTTGATATTTTGCAATCACAGTTCTGTCTAAGAAGAAAAATTTGTTTCCAATTTTCAAAAGATGATAAAAAGAAACTAAAAAAATGTATTGACAAAATTAAAAATAAAATGGAAAAGTAGTAACCGAACAAAAAAAATATTTTTGAAGACATATGACACTTGGTTAAAAGCCTCAACAAATATTTGTGTAAGTTATGTAATGCTTATCTCTATTAAAGTTTTAAGCTTTTTTTTATTTACTAAATATTTAAATAATTTCAGAATGTTCAAGCACGAAACAAAGAGAAAAAAAGCCATAGTGCAATGGGTCGACCACCTTTGAACTTTGATGAAGCAAGTGAGCGAACGAAACGGCGAAAAACAGAGGAAATGCGTTCGACATTTAGTTCATCCGAGTTAGCATTTGCTTCTCAGATGAGTCTTCGGGCTTCAGGAGCATGCAATGCCGGAGTTACAGTTAAAGATTTACCTTTCACCATTCAACACCGAGTCGCAAATTATATAGAGAGCCTTAAATTGTCCCAAATTTCACAAACATCTGAACTATGTGCTGAAACAGCTCTTTCCATACTAATGGAAGCAAATCTTTCTAAACACCAATATTGCATTATAAGAAGTGCTGCAATTGCAAATAGCTCTACTTTTTTACCATCTTACGAAAAACTTAAAGAAACCAAGAAAATGTGTTACCCTGAAAATATAACGGTAACTGAAATAAGCCCCGAAGTAAAACTGCAATCTTTATTAAATCACACTTGTTTACGAATTATAAAAACTCAACAAGATGTAATTGACTCCTTGAATGTAAATATTTTATCAAATTTTATTTTAATTCTTAAGTGGGGGTTTGATGGCAGTTCCGGTCATAGCGAATATAAACAGAGATTTGCCGATGGAAGAAACTCAGATGCAAATGTTTTTCTGACTTCACTTGTACCATTACAACTTTTGTGTACAAATTCAGTTTTAGGTCAAGATGTTATTCTATGGAAAAATAGGATACCCTCATCTACTCAATTTTGCCGACCTATCAGACTGCAATTTCTTCTCGAAAATGTCTATACAAGCATTAATGAAAAAGACTATATTGAAGATAAAATTAAATCACTGGTTCCTCTCATCATTGTTCAACATAAAATAGAAATTAAAATACATTATAAATTGGTTATGACAATGATTGACGGAAAAGTTTGCAATGCAATAACATTGACGAAATCAACAATGCGGTGTTATTTGTGTTCTGCTACTTCGAGTCAATTCAATAATATCAATTTCGTTAAAGAAATAAAAGTTGACGAATCAAAAAAGGTTTATCAACGTTGCACGCATGGATTCGATTTTTTGAATGTTTTTTGCATCTTGGGTATAAACTTGGAATAAAAAATTGGCAAGCACGTTCTGACATTGAAAAAAGTATAATATTACAACAAAAATTGTTAATTCAGAATGCTTTTAAGCTGCAGCTAGGGTTAATAGTTGATCGACCGAAACCAGGATGCGGTAATACAAATGACGGAAATACAGCTCGAAGATCTTTTAAAAACTCACAAGTGTCTGCTGATATTCTAGGAGTGGATTTAAAACTAATAAATCGGTTTCATGTAATTTTACAGGTATTTTCTAGTGGCTTTCCTATAGACGCAGACAAACTTGATGACTATTCTATCGAAACTGCACTACTTTTTATTGAAAAGTATCCTTCGTACAACATGCCTGCAACAGTACACAAAGTACTTATTTATGGAGCCTTAATAACAAAAACAGCAATACTACCCATAGGACAACTATCTGAGGATGCACAGAAATCGAGAGACAAAGACTTAAAAAAATATCGCGAAGATTTCTCTAGGAAAAATTCCCAAAAAAATACAATGCATGACGTTTTTTGCAGACTTCTGGTTTCGTCAGATCCTGCAATGTCTTAACTTTTAAAATCTCATGCAAAAGTTAGCAGATCTTTGTCTTTTCAAGCTTTACAAATGTTATTACCTCCGGAGATTAACGAAAACTCTGAAACTCATTCGTCTGTCATTGAGTTTATCAACAATATTTCAATAATAAATGATTCAGATGACAGTGGTGATTTATTTTAAAGTAATATAAAGGAAACAATTATGATAAATGATGCAAATAAAAGTTTTCCTTGTTTTCCTTGAACAAATAAATAAGTAGAATTAACATTCTTAACATTGCGGCATAATAATACGGTCATAATACATTATATATCGGTATTATATATAATGTTTATATATGTAATGTAAATAATACATTAGTCTATTGAACTTAAATGTCGAATTAGAACTAATTGGTTAAACACGAAGGACCAAAGGCATTTCTAATGATTAATGTTTTTAAAACAACGCCATTTTGGATTTGCCATTATTGATTTTTGGTACACTTATGTAAAATTCAAAGTTGGGGATTCAAAAAAATGCTATACAGAAATTTCCATTAATTATAATCATTTTTTGACTTTTGGCCAGGTTTTTTGAAATTCCGCCCACTGTGCAGCGCCACGGCTGCACATATATATATATACAGAGGCGTAGATAGAATTTTTTGTTGTTCGAGATAGGCAACCAGACATAGAGCAAACTTCAAACATTTTTATTTTTATAATTACGTTAAGTAATGAGTCTTTGCAAAAAATTGCGATGATGGGAGTCTAGGAACAAAAAAAAAAAAAAAAATTTCGCCCCCTCTGCCCTAAACGTGAGATTAACAAGTTTATAAAATATCTTTTATACTATTCTTAACTAGACCTTATATTCATCGATAAATTTTAAGTTTTATAGTATAATCTTTCAGCGTTCATAAAGTATGACCGTTTAAATTTTTTAACCCTCTCAAATTAAAAGGAGGGGGGGGGGGGGCAAACTATGTAAGTTCATAATTGTTAAATTTTTTTTTTTTTTTCGTTTCATTTTTGTCGTTGTTTACAAAGATAAACAGACAAGGCTTCTGAAAGAAGATCATAATGATCTTATCATCAGAACCTTCTACAATTTTTTTAAAATCAATACATTAACAAAACTAAAAAATTACAATAAATCGTGATATAAATTGGAAATATAAATCAAACCACTAATGTTATATATAATAAAAAGTCTGATCATATCATCAGATCTTATAAAAACGTAAATATATAAATACATATATATACATAGTAAATACAGTAATACATCTCTTTTTTTAAAAGGCAAGAGAAAATACAACAGTCTTACAATTAAAAAGACAAATACGTGATTGTTATAAAAAGTATTTAAATATATCATCAATAGATAAAATAAAATTTTTAAGTTTACTTTTAAAGATCGGAAATGTATTGGATATATCAAAATTAGGTATAACAATTTTATTTCAAAGATAGGGTGCTCGAAATGTAATGCAAAATTTGTTAAATTTTGTTCTGCAAATAGGTTCATGAACAAAATTTTTATTTCTAAGTAAATATTTATTAATTGGGTTTAGAGAAAAAAGGTTTTTAAAGACAGGTAAAGTTAAATCGTTTTTCCACATGTAAATAAAGCATAAAATGTTATAAACATTGAGCTCGTAAATATTAAGTATTTTCATCTTCATAAATAATGGTTTGGAATGAGTAAAACGATCGGCAAAATTAATCAATCGGATCGCGTGCTTCTGACGGCGAAAAAGGCATTTTAGCTTACTTTTTTCGGTGCTTCGCCATGCAATGTTGGCATAATTAATATAGGTGTGAATAAATGAACAATAGAGTTGAGTTAAGGCTTTTTCTGTTTAAATATGATCTAGATTTATATAAGACTCCGTTACTTTTAGATATTTTTGATCAGATATATTCTATATGCGGTTTCCATGTAATGATCTTGTCGAGAACCACTCCTAAAAATTTAGTAACAAAATCTCTTTTTATTTCAACTTTATCAATAAATATTTTGGGCAAATGTTGGGGTAAATAGCGCTTTTTAGAGAGTGAATGGAAAAAAACCCATTTAGTTTTATTAATGTTAAGAGTTAACTTATTACATTTGAACCAAGTAGATATGTTTTTGAGTTCATCATTCATTGTAGAAAAGAGTTTGGATATGTCATTATTGGTCAGGAATAAGTTGGTGTCGTCGGCAAACATGATACTCATTAAGTTTGAGGCTTTATTTAAGTCATTTATATAGATTAAGAACAAAAGTGGCCTTAAGATAGAGCCTTGGGGAACACCACAGGAAATATTTAGTAGATGGCTTTGGTTATAGTTATTAATAAAAACAAATTGTTTGCGGTTTGATAAGTAACTACAAAGCCATTTTATAGTTATATAGTTTAATCCGTAGTATTTTAGTTTTTCAAGCAGGATTTCATGGTTGACAGTATCAAAAGCCTTCAACAAGTCAATAAAAACACCTAATGTATATTGGGATCTTTAAAAGGAACTTGAGATTTCTCGTACAAATTGGATGATTGCATGTTCGGTAAAATTATTTTTTTTGAAACCAAATTGATTATAATAAAAAAGATTATTGGAGACAAGATAATTGTATACTCTATTATACATAATACGCTCTAAGATTTTTGAAAAAGTAGAAAGGATAGATATAGGGCGATAGTTACTGATATTGCAACAGTCTCCTTCTTTCAAAATTGGAATAACTTTTGCAATTTTTAGACGATCAGGAAAAACTCCTTGGTGGACAGATGATTAATAAACTTTATAAAGAATATTTTTGAGATGATCAAAACACTCGATAATTATGTCACCATTTATTTCATCAGCTCCGATAGCATTTTTTTTTTTTTTAGTGATTTGAAGGCGATTTGGAATTCATCAAAAGATAATTCTGAGTATATTTCTTTGGAACAGTTGCAATCATCCTTTGGTACTAAGAAATCATTAAATGCGACTGGGGTAAAGGGAACATTATTAGCTAATTTAGGGCCGATTTCGATAAAGTATTTATTATATTCGTTAGATATAGCTTTTGATTCATACTTTTGTTATCAACTATAATCATTTGGGGGAGGGAACTTGAGCATGTTGTTTATAAATGTATTTTTTGTTTAACGCCTTATTATTTGACGTAAGTATAAAAGTATAAATGTTTGGAGTTTGCTCCATGTCTGGAAGTTACCTATCTCGAACAACAAAAAATTCTGTCTACGCCTCTGTATATATATATATATATATATATATATATATATATATATATATATATATATATATATATATATATATATATATATATATATATATATATATATATATATATATATATATATATATATATATATATATATATATATATATATATATATATATAATCATATTTATAATCAGTATAGACATTAATCAGATTTGATTTATTTGTGTTTTGATAATTCAATATTCACGAAGATTTTATTTAAGATATATAACTTTGCTCTCACAAAGTTGTACTGAATACATTAAACCAACGTTCGGTTATATACATTGGATCAACGTTGGATTTAGATCGTAAAACAATAAACTTTTCCAACGTTTTTACATAAGTTGGACCAATGTAACTGTGCAAACTGTTTTTAATCGTGTCGGTATTATTCTTTTCATTGAAACATATCACCCTTAGAAAAAAACAAAAAAAAAAAACACAAACAATAAAGATGGTTTCACATACTTTGTACAAATTCGGGATTGTGTTAAATAAAATTCTAAATAATCTTTTAGGTTCATTTAGTTCAATAAAAGTACAAGATTCGCTGTTTACTAAAAAACTTACATACATATTTATTAAGTATATTTCTAAAAAAAAAAATCTTTTAATTTCGTGAATTCTTTAACATTGTTTTATTGTTTTGCTTTACTGCTTAAGTGGCAAAACATTTTTCGGAAAAGCTCCCATCATGTTTCCTCGTGGTAAGTATTGTGCAACAACTATAACTTTTCCATTTTTATGTTTTGCAATTCCGAATCCAACTTTTTTACTTTCTTTCCAAACCACCTGGGTGAAGTGACCCGTATTCATAGAAAAACCAGGTTTTTTGAAATTATATTTTGAGATTTCATTGTACCTAAATGAATTAGAACACGCGTTTTAAATTCTACGCAACTCATATTAAAAAATTATGATATAAAATTTCTCAAAGTGTTTAAGATAAAATAAACATTTAGAGATTTTCTATATAACTTTGATTACTTATTTTTGTAAAGTTACCAACTTCCTTACCAACTCGTGCTGGCTTTGACACATACTCCTTCAGCTGGCCCACCAGAAATCATATATAGGTTTTCGCCGTAGGGACTATTTTTACTATGTGTGAAAGTTCCTGTTGATGCTAAGTATTCGGCATGTTTTTGTGCACTTGCAGTGACTGTTGCATCTAATTCAAGGTTTCCTGTATCTTGATGCAAACTTCTGAGTCCGTTGTGTTTATTTAAACATTCAACTAAACCATTAAAAATATTTTTCAAAATCTTTTTGTTATATTTTATTATACTTTTATTTATTATTTAGTTTTATATCTATTACATTTTATTATATTTTTACTACGTCGTTATACTTTTATTACGTCATTTACGTATATTTTTCTCCTTTCTGCATAAAACATAAACAAAAATATAATTTAATAAAAAGCTTAAAGCCAAATAGTTATATAAATTATAAAAAATATATAAAATATATATAAATATGTACTCAATAGTTATACAGTCAATCTTAATCAGTAAATAAATTTAAATTTTTTTTTATACCATCCTGATTCTTTATAAGCACAACGTTCGTATTTTGACCAGCTAGAAATAGAAAGTTAATAAAAATTGTAACAAATTGTAATCATTGTAATAAAGTTAATTGGAATTAAATGTAAAAAATAATTAAAACTGTGACATATAACAAACAATAATTATTTTTATTAATTTTAAAGAGAGATTGTCTTAAAAAAAAAAGTAATTTGCAACGGCTTACACGTCGAAACGCGTAAAAAAACTTACAAACTTGTAAAACAAAAAACAGCGAAACAAAGCTTGTTGTATACATTTCCGCACCTTTTTCGAATAAAAATGCACGCATTTAATGAACTTTTATACTAAAATATTAATTTAAAAAACCATGGAACCTAGTATCAAAGTTTGTTTATTGTATGAAAACAGTCGACATAATATTTATCCAATTATATAACTATTATTTCAGGTGTAAAAAAAAAAGTGTTAAATTGATGTTAACAAAGGCGTTTTTTATTGACAATTTATTCGTGATTCAATTATTGGTCTTTACTCATTCAATTATTTTACTAAAATATTTGAATTTAACTTTAGTTCATTTTCATACCTTTGTGTCTTAGTTACAGAATGTTTACTGTTTATACCAGGTCCGTTGAGAAGATGATATTTTAGTTCATAGTTCAGGTAGACATGAAAGCAAAAAACATCTCCAACATTAATATGAAATTAGATACTTCACAATATGAAATTAGCTACTTTAAAACTTTTAAAAACATATTTTATTTACTGCTAAATGTTTCTTTATTTAGGTGTTTATTTTTATTTAAAATACTGTTTAATATATATTAAAAAAGTAACTTTATAAAAAAAAAAATGTCAACGCTATAAATTATTTATATAATAAGTATTTAAAAAATTCTACTGTTAGATAAAAAAAAACTTACATGCAATATATAATTACATGTAGGTTTTTCTTATAAATTGTATGCATATTATGCATATAATTTATATCCTTAGGGTCTTATCACAGAGCGGTGCTCGGTGATAAGACCCTAAGGACTTAATAACCACAAAAAAACAAAACAAAACAAAAATTTTATTACCTTTTGATGGAATCGTGACAAAACTTTACTATCTCTTCTTTATCAATTTACTTATATTTTGGAATAAATAATTAATATTTTTATCAACATTGAGTTTCTACAAGGCATAAGTAATAATGACAATAAAGAAACAATAGCAGACAAAGTTATTTTTATATATATATATATTTTGTTTTTGCGTAATTTTTTCAATTGTTACAAACATATTTAGTAGAGTTGCCACGAAAATTCGGTGATTATTCGGTATTCGGCCTACTCAGGTACTTTTTTAACTATTCGGTATCGGACGAATATTACAAACTATTCGGAATACTGAACACCAGGTTGTAACGAAATAAACGCATAAAAAAGAATTTCATATTACAACTTTTTTTATTTTTACAAATAATTGACACACTTGATACTTAATGTCTGTAGGTGGTAAGTTATGATGAAAACATTTTGAGCAAATGAACATAGTTTGATGAAGGCAAATGATTGCGCTTTTTCTCATAATTATACATACTTCCAAAAAATAGTGATTCACTAAATACACTGCCGCCAGAAAAAAATAAGAAAATTTTAGAAAGTTCTGTCAGGGCCGTCCTGAGGGGGGTGTAGGGGGTGTCTAGCCCTCTACGAATTTTATAATTCGGCAAATTGGATACCGGAGTCGGTAAAATTGGATCTATAGTTGGCAGTCGGCAAATGGCGAAAAACGAGGACTTTTTTTTTTAGATAAGTTAATGCACTCTCACGGAAAGTGTGGAGTTTCCCTTCACACCGGTGTGTAGCTATCACTCCTAGACAAAAGTGTAGAGTTATTTTACACACTTTTGTGGAAATTAACTTTTTCTAACTCGACATCTGCACAGAATTGTGGAGTTATTTGCACGCCTCCGAATATTCATGCAGCCGATTAATCAGTGCTCTGGCCGAGCACGTAGTCTAATATTTGGTATTTGGCAAAATCATTATTGGTAACCTCAGTATTAAATTTGTTATCTTAAAGTTCATTAGTCCAAATACACAAAATAAATTAAAAAACTAATTTTTTTAAATTTATTATGATCAAAATGATATTTTATTGTAATAATTTGTAAGAAAAATGTATAATATATAAATAAATATAAATTTTCATTAAAAAAATAATAATTCCATTTAAAAAATTTAAAATACAAAAACTTCTTTTTTTTTGTTGATACGCAGCGGTCTTACACACGCCAATATAGCATGGGCAAGCACTCATAAAACTAAGTCCATCAACGGCAACATCTTGTTTGGAGAGTTTTACTTTATAAAGGCAAATTTACCCATCACTTAAACAGATGAATGCATTAAGAATATAGCAAATAAATATTTCCCAAAAAAGATTTTTTTATGCTCAAACATACAATTGGAATTCTCGTAACTTGACTTAAAAAATAACTTTTTTAAAGGTAATAAAAATAAATTTAATATAAAAAAAAAAAGACAAAAAAAGAGAAAATTTTAAAGTACCATTAAAAAAACAAAAACTATTCTACTTTTCTATACAATATCGTGGCCTAATCTCTCTTAAAAATAAGTGTCAATAACTTTTGTGGATTATTAAAATCGAAACTAAAAAACTTGTTTTAGATACAAAGTATTATATGGAAAATTTCAATTTATTATGATTAAAAAATCTTTTATATATCAAAAAAAAAATAAAAAATTAAAAAAATAAACGAAACGAAAAAAACTTTTAAATGTAATTTACAATATAATGAAACAAAAGTATTTTGTTAGTACGTTTGTTTTGTTTTATCCTATATCAGTTTTCTGTGAGCAAGTTGGAAAATTAGTAATAATTTTAAATAATAAATTTGTCATCTGGTCACGTGATTAGAGTAAGTCATCATTTTTAGTGGGACAATGTAGTAGATCAATATTGAAATCTTTATTATACAAAAATATTTCAATAGCAATAGTTATGAATAACAATTTAAAATTTCCTCGTCTGAAATTAAAACTCCGAAGGATTAAGCAAATACTATTGAATTGAAGTCGGATTAGTTAGTTTCTTAAATAACAGATTGAAATTTTGAAAAAAAAGCACGAGAAAGAGATGACGAGATATTAGAGAGAATGAGGATAGATCAAGGCGTAATAGTTCAATAATTAACAATATCCTTGAAAATGAAAACAAATACTGGACTGACTGAAGAAATGGCAAACTATTTGACATCGTAAGGGTCAAACACATGAAAACTGAAAGAGTACGTAGAACAGGCAAAGTAGTTCACACTAAACAGAACAATAGTCCTAAAACTTCTGGATTTCAAAAATAAAAATAAAATTCTTAAGAAACCCTTCAAGATTTAAAAGGTAAAAACATTTTCATAAATGAAAACCACTGAATGGAAACAAATTTTATGCAAAAGGCATTACGGTAAAAAATGAAAATCGAAACACAAGCAGGCAAATAATTAGCCTATTTATAGCCAGTCTCAATAAATTTGGGGTTTTTTTATTTATGTGCAGGCGAAACACATATTTGTTTTTCAGATATCACAGGATAATTATAATAAATGCGTATTAGAATTTATAATTTAACGGCGACTTACGAAATCTAATAAAAAAGTTTTTTTATAATTAATAATTTTTGATTAATAATGAAATCAAATCATAGTAGATTTAATAATATATAACGAAAACTTTTTGTATGTATATAATAATTTAACTTGAACAAAAAAATGGATTATTTTAATTCAATAAAAGATGCAAAATAGTTCATTTGTGCAAATAAGCAACTTTACGAAAGTATAAAAGAACATAAACATATGATTAACAATAGATTATCATCTATTGCAAATTAATTTTTAAAAGAATTATTAACTATGTGTGGAAAAATAAAAAATAAATAAAAAACTTTATGCTTTTGAATAGATAACTTTTAAAAAAATAAAATAAAATCATTATTGTCACTAATACGACAGCTAATCAATAGAAAGGGTAATTTTGTGACTAAAAATCCTTGTTTGCCGACATAAATGGGTGTATGCAAAGGGTAAAGGTATAGTTTCTCCATTCATGTACACATTTTATACTACTGTCCAAAACCACTGTTTTTATACTTTTTATTTAATATATCATTCAAATGAATATAGAAAAAATAGAAAACTCAAAAACAAATCTTCAAGCACCACCTCTCTATTATTTATAAAATAAAGTTAATGCACTTCCTTTTAAAGACGTTTATGCTGTTAACTTACTAGTAAAAAATTAGAATTAAAATCAACTGTTTTTCCTGTGCTTTATTTTTTGCCAAATCGAGTTGTAACTCACGATAACCCTTGTTAAGTTTTGAAAGGAAACTTGAAATATATAGATTATTTAAAAAAAGAAAAAAGAATTTTATACAAGAAAACATAACTTCCGTATTTCGTTACTTCTATGTTATGATAAAGAGTATGCAGCATACTATTTAGGTAAAAAAAAATTTTCTCGGAAAAACCTTTAAATTGAAATAAAGTATAGAAATTTTAATTCAATCGTTTCATAACATATCTATTAGTTTCAATAAGACAGTTGCATCCTAAAAAACTACCAATAAAAATATATAAAATAATTTGTACACAGTACATAAATTTCTGTAGTCTAAAATAAATTTCTTCTCAAGTACACATAAAAAACCCGTACTTAAGATGTGCATACGACGTTCAAAAAAACATCAAAAGGTTCTTTTTAGTTGGTAAAAAAACTATACTTGTGTTATAGAATTAGTGAAAAAGTCAAAAGGATGATTTTTTATGGAAAATGTATGACTAAAAACAAATAAAAAAATCTGCAAAGCACCGACATATAATAAAATACGATAGTTTTAATTTTCTCTGTATTAATTATAATATTTGAAAAAAAAAAATTTTTTTTTTTTTGTCTTTTCTATTATTTACTAACGATTTCAATCGAAACGATTTTTTACACGCAGGGGCGTAAACCAGTTATTTTTAGGGTATCTAAAGACCATGGAGTTCTTCAAATGTCATAACTCCTAATATAAGATAACAAAATCCTAATATAAGAATACAAAACAAAAATCTAGCAAATCCATACTTAAACGCCCAAGACAACCCCCCGAATTTACGCCCTTGAGTGTGTCAATAATTTCGTAATAATGAGGAAAAAAAAAATGCTCCACAAAAGTCACGGAGAGTTTGCTTTATTTACATGAATGTTTTGACAATTTTCCTAATTTCAAATATTTACAACTAGATACATATGAAATATATATACACACATATATACAAACACACAAAGCCATAAGAAGGATTATGACCTTGAAGTAGAAATAAGATTACGTTGTTGATTCGATGAAAAACTATCGCCAGTTTTCTAAATTATTTGAAACTTTTCAAATACCAGTAAAACTGATTAAAATTAAATTGCTTTAGTAATTTTATATCTTTATATTTTAGTGAATATTTAAAAATAAATTCTTCAATATAAAATAAATTACTTACAGATGAAGTTGAGAACTGAATACTTCTAGATAAAAAACAAAACAATTGAAAGTAGTTAATTAAACACTATTAAAAAAACAATAACAAAAAAAAAACAAAAACACGTTTATTTACCTAACGTCATATTGTGAGTAAGGCGAAATTATTTGATTCGTTTGTCCGTTAGGAATCTTTAAATGTACTGGTTTTCCAAGCAAACGCCAAAGTGGCACTATAAACTAAAAGCAGCAGAAAATTGTGTACATAATATCAAATGAACAATATCAATTCCTTAATATTAATATTCAAAAATAAAGTTTTACTTATAAACAAAAAGCTTACTTTAGATATAGTAGTTCTTGAATTCTCTGAAATAGAAAATATTTAAATTTTTATTTGCTAATAAAATTTAAGATAAATTTGATGAAATTTAGCATTAAAAATTTACCACAAATATTGGCAGTGCATACTCCTCCACAACCTTGACAAGCAGCCGAAGTTGAAGCCGAATTCTGCTCATCGAATGGTTTAAGATATATTAACTCTTTGTGAAAACTAGACTTAGCATCATTAGCACGCTTTTCATAATAGTGCGTGCTTTTGCATGGATTTTTTATAATCAAAGTCACAAATAAAACGAGCATAAAAAATCCTGCAATTGAAAGTCCAATCGCTATGCCATTGTTTATATGAAAACTTGACTCTGGTGTTAGCGTGGTTAACAAAGATACCTGAGAAGTTTTAACTGGTTCATCAATACCTAAATGATAAATGTTACATGCAGTGTAAATACTAATATATGAATATATTATTAAACACTAATATATTATATAAATAATAATATAACACTGTGAAAGAATGTATCTAAACAGACAAGACATATAAAAATGAGTTTCTTGAGAGAAGCAAGACAATAAGATTGCTTCAACCATTATAGTAATTATATAACATACATTTGTACACTTTTATTTAAATATATAATATTTATACAGCATAAATTATATTTTACATTATTTAGTTAATATATAATACATGTATTGTGTATGCATATATATATATATATATATATATATATATATATATATATATATATATATATATATATATATATATATATATATATATATATATATATATATATATATATATATATTGTTGTTGTATGATTTAGTATTAAAAATACTAAACTCTTGATCGTTGTAGAGTGCTCAATATTTAAGAAATATTTAGTTTTACAAAAACAGAGCGTTTTATACTTGAATAAAGAAAAAAAGACACAAAACATAGAAAAAACGACACAACCTACACAAAATATTTAACAGAAACACAATTAAATTAAGCTACTCCTGCATGCCAAACATTAAATCTATCATCAACTCACACAACAAAAATATTTTATATGGTGATGTAAAGTTATTAGAAAAAGCCTGAAATTGCATTAAAAAATCTCTTTGTCCACTGAACAACAATTGCTTGTCTAACAACATCGTTTACCAAGCCACCGTAAGCTCATATAAACCTCGATACAAAGATAAGGTATACATTGGGATAAGCGAAACCTCTTTTAAGCTACGTTATGCAAACCATCTAAAATCCTTCAACATAAAAAAGTACAAGAATGACACTGAGTTATCTAAGGAAGTATGGGATTTAAAAGATAACAATTTTACATCTTCAATCAAATGGAATATAATTAAACGCTGTAAATCATACAATCCTGCGTCAAAAATTTGTAAGCTTTGTTTAAATGAGAAATTTGAAATATTATTTTACAAAGGAGATAATCTGCTAAATAAAAGAGGCGAAGTAGTTTCAAAATGTAGACATAAAAATAAATTTCTTCTTTCATTATTTGATAGCGGAGATTAGTTTTCCATTACGTCTTCTTGTACTAAGACATCAGAACTCAATTTACTGTAGTTTGTAATTTTTAAACGGTTTTTTATATTTTTGATTTTGTACTTCATGGCTGATGATTGCCGATAGGCATGAAACTTTAAGTTCCATTAAAAGTCGTTTTTTCTATATTTAAGTATATATATATATATATATATATATATATATATATATATATATATATATATATATATATATATATATATATATATATATATATATATATATATTGTGGGTCATATTTTTTCCAATCCTTAATAAGAACTGTATTTAATTGAGACAAACTGGATGGTTTTTGTTGAAACTTTTCAACTTTTTGAGATTTTAACAATTTTTAATTAAATTTAGGTCTAGTAACTGAAGAGCACAACCAAACAACTTAATGTTGCTATTTTGAACCACTGAGTAGCTAACTTTAATGTACATTTTGGATCTCTATTCTGTTGAAAGATGAAACTACGAGATAGGTGTTAACTACTAATGATTATCTCAGTTTTTATTTCATAATATCAGTATAAACTTCTTTTGTCATTTGGATTTAAGAGGCATTTTCTGAGGAAACCAGGCAATGCTCAAAAGTGATATCTTTCAATCATTCTCAATTTTACATATTGTGTTGTTTGTAATATTAAAAAGAAGCCTGTAAATTTTTATTTTCAAAATATTTATAATTTCTGAGTAAAAGTCGGTCAAACTTTTCCCTGTTTTATACTTGAAAAGTTTTTTCCCTGTTTTATACTTGAAAAGTCACTTCTGGGATTTTATGACTTTTAAACTCAGATTAAAAGCAATGAGATCACTTCAACCTAAGTTTCTTTTCATATTATGGAAGTATAGGTAAAACTTTAAAGAAAAAAAAAAAAAACCTGAGGACAACTCTTCCTTTGTCTAAAAATCATAAGCTGAAATCACACATATTTGAATTTGGGGCCTATTTTAAATACATTTATCTCGGAATGTAAAATGTGCCCATGGCGTATTTTATCCTTTTTAGGAAGAGTATTCCAGTGTTATTTGAATGGTCTAAAAAAAACTGAGAGGATATTGTTTACAAAAAAAGTTATGAGTTATGCTCAAAAAATGTTTTAACCAGCATTCAAATATCAGCCATTATGGAAAATGAGAATAAGTCCTAAGAATGAGGATACAGATTTTATTTTACTACATATTACAATTTATTTGATGCAAAAAAAAACAAAAACTTAGGGGGTAATATTGCATTGTTGAAACAACTTTACATCAAAATGATGCTAAATCTGATTTTTTTTAAAATAATTTTTACGATTGTAGACTTTAAAAATTTTTTTCTTTTAATAAAGATTTTTAACTTGATGTTTATTTGAACATAATTATTTATTGTTAGGCATTATTTCTTGATGATACAGTTATTCAGTATGTTTTATTAAGCATTTACTTCTGAATTATTTAGAACAGAGAATGAGCATTTTATGCTAAATACACTTAAAAAAAACACTTAGTTGCAAAAAGTATGTCAGAGCTAGAGGTTGTTGTTGAAAATGTTTGCAAAGTTAATAATGTGAAGTGTAGACCATATCCTCGTTTAAATGAACAAAGGTTATCCAAGATACAAGATCTGACATTGTATGTCAAAGCACACTTTGTAAAAATTAATGTAAGAAATGCTCTTAGCAGTTGTAAAAAAACTTTGCATAATAATTATAATAACATAAGTTTTATTTTTTTAGGTTTTAAAGAAACAACAAGAGATGGAATGGGCAGAAAAGTCACTTATAGAAAGCCGAGGGTGCATATCAATTTCTGATAACGACTATATATGCCCTTACCATAGATTTAACTTTGGTAAGAATTTGTTTACAACCGTTTTTCAAAAAAAAAAAAAAAAAAAATTAACTACTAAACCTTTAAAATAAATATTTTAAATTTTGATTTTTGTTAAAATTCAAGGTATTGGTTGGGTTCCTCCATGAAGATGCTGTCACCCAATGCATCAATTAAGTGTTAATAAAAAATCATCTGCTGTAAGAAGTATTTCAATAAATATGTCAACAAATGCTTCAAAACATTACAACAAAAGTGTTCCAGTAGGTTCCGTATTTTGTCACAACCACCTAAAGTCAGAGCGCATTCTAAATCAAACTAAAACAAGTACTGCCGCTAACGAAGAGCTAGTTGAAGACACAACTGATTTTGATTTTGAGCCTGAAGAAACTTTCTGGAGAAAAAGTTGAAGGTGCTACATATACTGGTAACAACCTATCAGAAGCACTCCACATCAGCCCTTTTCAGTTTTAGATAAAGAACAAAAAGATATCTGATCTCAGCAATGAAACAAAAAAAATTTACGAAGAAAATTTGAAAGAGCCAAGGTACAGCTCGAAAAGAGGTTCGCTGAAGCTGTTGCCCCAGATCAGAGTGAAGACTTTATCTCAATTGCTTTAAAAAGATCTTTATAAACTTCAGACATTGATGTAGTACCTGATGATCTAAAAAAATTGGTTGCAATTTATGAAGAAAGTGACTCTATGGGAAAACATATTGTTCTGTGTTTGATTGAACATGAAAAATGTACTAAGAAGTTGCTAATGAAAGTTTTCGGGTGTTCCAAATACAAGATAGACCAGGTACGAAAAATGTAGAATGCAAACATAGGTATAACTATTCATGTCAAAAAAGAAACTACATGAAATAGACTAGACCAGAAAAAAGCTGAACATTTCATTGATTTTATATTTAACAGCAACCTTCTTCAAGATGTTGCATATGGAGTTACAAAAATTAAATTTGACTCAAATGATGTATATAAAATATCTCGTGCAGTTTTGACAGCTAAAATGAGTCATAAAATTGCATTTTATAATGAAGTTTGCAAAAATGAAAATTACTCTCCTTTATCAAAAAGCAGTTTGTGGCGAATACTTCATGCTGTTAAACCATCTCAACAAAAATGTTTAGTGGGAGTGGATGATATTACTGCTGCAGGTATGAATGGTTTCTCTATGATGCAAGATTTATCTTTGAAGTACAAGGATAGAGAGCTGAGTAATATGTTTAAACGTAGCAAAGGATATTACAAAACTAGTTTCCAGTTTAACTTCAGTGTCACATACCCTAATTCTCTAATTCTCTAATCTCCCACTGCCCAATATTTGCTTTGAGTGATTTAACCGACAAAAGATTGCAACAGATTTCAATAGCACCCAATGATAAGATTTGTTATGAGTGTGAAAATTTAAGCAAATCCTTATACCATTTATGATATTGAAATTGCTGAAAAAAATATCATTGATTATAAAAAACATTTAATGCGTGATTGTCAACAAAAAAAAGCCAAAGTTTTTGTTTTTGAAAGTCTTGATGAGAAATCTGGATTTTGGTTGAAAGACTTTTGCCAAAAAGTTCTACCATCCAAATTCAGGGAAGGTCAAAAGTAATATTTTGGAAAAAAGGGGATGTCACTGCATGTAGGCATTTTCTTTACAAAGAAAAACAACCTTTTACAGAAAAAGGTGTATTTTACAGCTCTTTATAGGTATAAGCAAAGTTTATCTGAAACACTATCAATTGCCCAATTAGCATGACCATTCTGGTGTTAATAAACTCTATGCAAAATCTGACAATGCTCCATCCTATCATAAAAAATTTATAATGGAAGCTCTTTTTATGTTGTGCAAAAATAACCAAATACAGCTTAAGCGCTACAATTATAACGAACCTTGTCATGCCTAGGATCAGTGCAACAGAGAAGCTGCCGGAACAAAGTCATTGATTAGTAGCTTTATTGATGCTGGTAATGATTTAATGTGTGCAGAGGACATTTATACTGCTTTACATTACGGCCATGGGATGAAAAATTCTGCTGTTGGTGTTGCCACTATAAAGGGC